TTGGAAAGAAGTCGAAACTGTCACTTCATAACAAGCTTTTAATTTACAAACAAATATTGAAACCAATTTGGACATATGGTATTCAGCTCTGGGGATGCGTTAGCAGCACACATGTTGAAACTGTACAAAAATTCCAAAACGTTATATAAAGGGGTGTGGCAAATGCACCATGGTACGTAAGGAACTCTGATCTGCATCGTGATCTAGGGATAAATACGGTGGTGGAAGAAATACAGCGAAATGCAAGAATGCACCTGCAGCGACTGTACTCTCATCCGAATGATGAAGCTAACGAACTGGCGTCAATAGAGCCAACACGTCGCCTTAAGCGTCTAAAACCTTGTGATCTTTGGTCGCAACCTGTCCGAAATGCGTGATAAATGAACTTGCGTGATTTCTGATTAAATTCTTTATAATTGTTGATTAAAATTGTTTGTTAGCTTATTATATTGTTAGCTAGTTACTCTTATAAAAATTTATTTAATCAAATAAAATAAATTTATATAAAAAAAAAAATATTGAGAACTTTTAACACTGAGTCTTCAGCAATCATATCTGTATCTATGTTAAAAGCAAAATCCTTAGGTCTATCCTGTTTGATAGTTTGATAGGTATATTTAAACATAATATACTAGTTTAATTTTCGCTATCTTTTGATAAATGAATATACCAGTTGTTCCTTATGATTTACTTCTATCATATAGCATGTTATAAATAATTACATATTTTACAAATTAAAGTAAAATAGTGCAAAATAGATCTATGTCTTCATTGGACCTTAATTGAGATTTAACTCAACCACCACACCCCTTCTTTTTTCGGTTTTCTTCAAAATTGCGGTCTTTCTTAATTCAGTGAATTAGTGAAAGCCTCTGCATGGTGGTAGCACAATAGGTTGCAACAATAATAACTTAACATTTCAAAATCTATCTTGCCACTTGCTTTTTGTTTAAATTCAGCTATCTGTTACGCTGAAAAGGAAAAATAAGCCACTTACAAAACAGACACAATAAGGTACTATAAATGTCCAGCAAATAGACCTGTGCTACCATTCTACTTAAAAAAATCAAGACTGCAGTTTTGCGACGTAACCCCATTCATTCTATTATGCTTTTACTATTTCCTTTCTTGAAACACCTAATATCATATGCGAATTTTTTAACACAGCTCTCTTGCAGTAATTTTCTAAATTGCAATCTATCCAGGAAATAGTATATTAACAGGGCAATTCTGGCAAAGATCGTTGCCAGAATTGCCGTGACATGTTTAAATGTCTTAATAGAAAGCAATAAAAGTTTTAAATTGAATATATTTTTTGCGTACTTTGTCTAAACTGCTTAAATTTTTATATCATGTTCTGTTCGTACTCGTTATAATAGAATAATAGTAATAGAAACGATTATATTCAATACAGGTTCATGCTTCATCATAATTCTTATGTCGCATATTTACTTATTAAATGAAACAAAATATGACAGACACTAACTGCAAAACTACTGCAACTATGTGTATATATACTAAGCTAACAGTATTTATCGTTTGAAAAGAATTTGACTCTATTTTGAATAAATTTTCATTAGATAAGATTACATTTAAATTTTTGCAAATAAATTTTCTTTTTAGTGATTTTAACCTATGAACCGAAAAAAATGTATGCACAAAAGAAACTTTTATTTGCTGTTATTTATAAAATAATCACAGCTTATCAGTTGAGTAAAGAATATTTTCTTATGATTTAATAAATCTTTTAACTGATAAGCATCCATGCTTCCATACTTTAATACTTTGTCTGCGTAATTTTTATCTTGTCATATTATTTGGATACACATAGATATGGATGTATAAAATTTGTATGAATAATCTATTATGGAATATATTGTAGAATTCAATATTGCAATTGAATTATAATTGCTAGTTTTATATACTTAAACCATTATTAATGACTAATAGGTATTTTATATTTTATAAAATACGTATATATGCTTATATATACACATAGCCAATAAACTCTGCGTACACCTTACGAATTTTGATATGTGATAAAGAAAAATAACATAAATAAATATTTTTAATTAAAATTTTTACATATGTATATTTATTCTTTGAATTATTAAGTTTAAATAGCAAAAGACAAAAATTATATTCGACTATTCATTCCAGATATAACGGGATAAAAGTGTGCCTGCATGTAAAAATAGGCCCCATAAAGTCTGCGCACAGTTTGTTTGTTTAGAAACTACCGTTAATTTTTAAGCAGTTTGTTCTTATTTTTGCTCATTTGGTATTTTTAACATTTGAATTGAACATTTACCGATCTCAGTGATCAATTAATTTTTTAGTAGTAACTATTTTAAAGTATGGAATCAAGGGGAAAAGAAATTAGTGTGTACGAAAGAAAAATAATTATTAAACTATGGAAAGATGAAAAAAGTTTCCGCAAAATTGGTGAAACTATTGGAAGAACGCATTCATCAATCCAGCGCGTAGTGGACAACCTCAAAAAAACCGGAATTTTAACATCTAAACCGCGTCCTGGGCGGTCCAAAAGTTTTATCAGTCCGAGAAGAGCGAAAAATAGTCCATATGATAAAGATGAACTCTTTCATTACTTCTTCGAAAATTGTGAAATATATAACACAATCATTTAAAAAAAGTATTTGTGCGGAGACTGCTTGGGAAGTATTACATATAGCTGGATATCATGGTAGAGTCGCTAGAAAGAAACCATATATTTCACTTGTAAACAGGTAAAAGCGCGTTGAATTTGCAAAGAAATACATAAATAAACCTCCGGAGTTCTGGAAACAAGTGTTATTTTCAGACGAAAGCAAGTTCTGCATCTTTGGTATAAAAGGTCGTCAAATTGTGCGGAAATAGGAGCGGCGTTTGAGAAACAAAATCTTGTTGGTACAATCAGACACGGCGGTGGAGGAGTTATGGTATGGGGTTGCATGGCGGCTGGTGGTGTAGGCCAGTTGGAATTTATAGAATCGACAATGAATAAATGGGGCTATTTAAACATTTTAAAAAAAAATTTGAAACAAAGCGCAGATAATTTGGGTTTATCCACGACATTTTGGTTCCAACAGAACAATGACCCAAAACACACAGCGGAGAATGTTAGACTTTGGCTTTCGTACAACGTTCCAAGACAGCTTAAAACACCTCCACAATCACCTGATCTCAATCCTATTGAGCATCTTTGGGATTTATTGGAAAAAAGAATTCGTCAGCATGTGATAACAAGTAAAGAGGCTTTGCGGAGTACAATGCAAGCAGAATGGGCGAAAATTACTGCTGAAGAAACTCAGAAGTTGGTTAATTCCATGCCAAATAGATTAAGTGAAGTTCTAAAACAGCATGGTAACCATTATTATTAAATTTAAGTATTAAATTTAACTTTATTTTTACCGATTTGATCAGTTTTTTTATAACTGTACGCAGACTTTATGGGGCCTATTTTTACATGCAGGCACACTTTTATCCCGTTATATCTGGAATGAATAGTCGAATACAATTTTTGTCTTTTGCTATTTAAACTTAATAATTCAAAGAATAAATATATGTAAAAATTTTAATTAAAAATATTTATTTATGTTATTTTTCTTTATCACATATCAAAATTCGTAAGGTGTACGCAGAGTTTATTGGCTATGTGTATATATAAACACATATACTTGTACAGATTTACAAATTCTATATGGAGTATAGCGTGCCCCGTTTTAACGCTACATTTACATCAAATTCTCCTTAATTAGGTATGCAATTTACGTGAATTATATAAGGTTGTAATAGTTAACAATGGTTATTTTTCTTTTTTTAAATACAGTCAAACTTCCATAACTCGAACTTCTATAACTCGAATTTTCCATAACTCGAACCAAAAACAGTGGACTAAGGTTTTAGAGAGCAAATTTCATACAGTTTTGCTTCCATAAATCGAATTTCTCTGTAACTCGAACAAAAATTTTTTTAAATATTCATTTAACTCTCATTTGAACTTTTTATGTTTCAGTTTTTATATATTTGTACTAAATTCAATACTGATTCCATGCATGAAGAAAACAAGGGAATTTACCTCAGAAATGATAGAAATTTAATTTAGTTGGGCAATTTGTATGTAGTATGTCATTTGCAATGTATGACTTAACTATTTTATTAAATAATGTTGAGAAGGTAGAAAGCTTATTTAAAAACAAAAAAATTCACATCATCTCTAAGCTGAAACTGAGATTTAATAAATTTATTGAATTTCGAATTGAGCTCGGGTTATAATGGATAACTAAGTCTAGTTACGAAGTCATTTTAAATGCAGTAAAATTCGTAACAGAAAAATGACTTCATGTTCCTGATTATAAATTTTAATAATTGTGTTATCTATTTTCCAAATGAAATACAAATGTTATTACATTTAGGAGTTATTCATATTTCAAATCTCTGTATATATTAGGTATGTTTCACAAACTACTCTTAGTAACTTTGAGTAACACTGTGTATACACAAGTGCATTTCACCAGCAAATTTTCGAGTAAATTTTCGAGTAAATTTTACTTGTGTTTTACTTGAGTTTTACTACCAGTAGCTCGTTGAACAGACCTATTATATACCAATAGAATTGATTTATGTACAAGAAACATCTATTGAGTCTTTTATATTATAAAACAATAACAATATAAAATTATTATCAAAAACCACTTTTCTTAGGTTTTTATAATAAAACATTAAAATAATTATATACACAAATTCCTCACAATATATTATAATAAACAGAATTTGACTCAAGTCATCAAAATGAATAATGAAATAAAAATAAATTTGAACACTTTTACAAAAATAAACTGACATCATAATTTACATTTTTAGCACATTTAAGTTTTCAAGTTTTTCTCTAATGTGTATGTTTTTAAGTATGACGTACTTTTCCTTCTAATATAAATTAAAATTTTATTTAAATTAATTATTTTCATATTTATTTGAAATAAACGTTTTTCTTTTTGCAGATTATTGGTTTAACAATTGTGGTAGCATCACTATGGATGATAACTGATCCAACATTCTTACTCTCCATGACACAACCTTATAATCATTATTATATAGCGCTCTACGTTTTCTTGGGCATTGGTGTATTGATCACCATTGGTGCCTTCTTCGGTTGCTGCGGCGTAATTAAGGAATCTGAGTGCTTATTAGTATCCGTAAGTAATGTAGACTAATGTCATTACTATTGTATTAATAAATTTTATGAGATAAATAAATTGTTATTTATTATTTAAATTATATTTGTAGTGTTGCCACAGTGTAACTTTCAAGAATTAAATTTAAATACATAAACAAATATTACATATTTATTTTTTTTCAATTATTTTACTAAAAGTAAAATAAAACAAACTTATATAAAAATAAATAAAAATAAATAAATAAAAATAAATAAATTTACTTATTTATAAATTTAAATTTTTAAATAATTAAAATAAAATTAAATAAACTTACTGTAAAAATATTGTAAATTTATTGTATGAGCGATTACGAAAAAGTTGTACGCCGGCACTCTCTAATTAGTGAAAATGGCCTAAATGGCTATATAACACTAAACACTGATGACTCTAAAATAATAAATAATTCCCCAAACAAACTTTTAGAAAATTCAAAAATCGAATCAAGCATAACAAAAATAGCTAGTGAAATCGCCATCGCTAACAAAATTAAATTAATAAATAATAAAAACGATAATATAAAACTTAGTTCACCAAATCAACACGAAACAATACTATCCAATACACGCAAAGAAACTAATATGAACACGCGGCAGGCGTCAAGCAATGCGACTTCGGGTCATCTAAAAGAGAAAAAGGCTAAATCAGTTCAGGTGAAAAATATACAACAACAAATTCAACTACTTCAACAACAGCTTCAAAAATTGTATAATGAAGAAAAAAATAACCTCCTCCAAAATAAAGGATCGAATCAAGCTGCAACCACCAGAAACGAAACCTCTGTTAACGACACTTGGACAGTAGTTAATAACCGTAAACGTCAACGCGATAGTCCAAGTAAAAATCATCAAGTAAGCCAAAAACAAACCAAGCTAGACTCATACTGGCTAAATGAACCCGTCAAACCAAACCGATACGCAGATCTCCAGGAAGATGACTCTGAAGAAACTGAAGAATCGTTAAAAAATAATGATACGGTTCCAAAATTAATGAAACCTCCACCTATATTTATTGATAAGGTACATTGCATCAAGCCTCTAATAGATGTGTTAAACGAACATGCGGCAAATCAATTCGATTTAAAAGTGCTAAATCCAAGTCAAGTAAGAGTTCAACCTTCTACATCTGACTCTTACGTAAGCATTGTAAAGCAGTTGGAGTTAAAAAACACTGAATTCTACACTTACAAACCAAAAACAGAGAGAAGCTTTAGGGTTGTATTGAAAAATTTGCATCATTCAACCGATATTGATGAAATCAAAAATGCACTTCTGGAGCATGAACATACGGCTGTAAACGTTTGGAACATTAAACGTAGAGGGTCAGGTGAACCTCTCCCCATGTTTATTATTGAACTTGCACCAAACCTAAACAATAAGGATATTTATTTGGTTAAGAAACTCTTGTATACTACAGTTACATTTGAACCACCTCACCCGAAACGGGAAATCCCTCAATGTGCAAACTGCCAACAGTATGGGCACACAAAAGGATACTGTCACCGCAAACCTAAATGCGTCAAGTGCGCTGGAAATCATGCTTCTGTAAATTGCGAAAGGAAAAGCAGATCCAATGATGTCAAATGTGTTCTATGTGAAGGAAATCATCCGGCCAACTACAAAGGATGTCAAATATACAAAAACCTGCAAAAAAAAATGTATCCCCAACTAAGACCTAGGGCGCCGGAAGTACAAATTCAAGAAAATCCTCTTCCTTCGCTAAACAAAAAACACATCACGACTTCTCATTCACCTGAAACATTCGCACAAATAGTGAAGTCAGACACCAATAGCGAAACAGAGGAGAAGCTTTCACCAAATCCAAATAATTTTGTGGAAGAATTCCGTGAGATGACATCACTGTTGAAGCAAATGATGCAACAAATCGTAGTAATGACAAATTTACTGATCAACTTGACGACTAAACAAAATTCTTGATTTAGTAGTAGTCATATGGAACGCTAATGGTCTATCAAAACATGCTATCGAAATAAAAGCATTTTTAAAATTAAAACAGGTCGACATAATGCTAGTATCAGAAACCCATTTCACGACGCGTAGTTTCTTTAAAATTCCGAACTACGAACTTTATCACACAATGCATCCCAGTGGTAAAGGAAATGGTGGCTCTGCGGTCCTCATAAGGAACTCGATAAAACATTATGAAGCAAAACCATATTGCAAGAATGAAATCCAGGCAACAAACATTGTTGTACAAACTAAAGAAGGCGACATGACTTTCTCATCACTCTACAGCCCACCGCGCCACAGTATCACGAAAGATATGTACATATCATTTTTTCAGCTGCTTGGACCTAGGTTCCTAGTAGGCGGAGATTTTAATGCTAAACACTTAAAATGGGGTTCCCGCCTAATATCTCCAAAAGGACGTCAACTCTTCGAAGCAATAATTGTACTCAACCTCCACACAATCTCAACAGGTGAACCCACATATTGGCCAACAGATAGAAGAAAAATACCTGACTTAATTGATTTTGCGGTATCAAAGGGGGTACGTATTGAAACAACTACCTGTAAGTCCAATTTCGACTTGTCATCTGACCACTCGCCAATAATAATCACTCTCAATGACTGCTGTGAAATTATGGAAAAATGTATTCTTCATAATAAAAACACTGACTGGAATAGTTACCGTCAACTAATTTCAATTGGTCTAAATACCGAAGTCAGGTTAAAAACTGAATCCGACGTAACTGAAGCAGTAGAGCATTTCAACTCTTGTGTCCAAATGTCTGCATGGGAATCAACTCCACCAATTTCTAAAAGTGTTAAGCAAGATTATCCATTTAACATTAGATACCTGATTAAAGAAAAGCGTAGGATGAGAAAACATTGGCAACAGTCGAGATTCCCTGCGGATAAAACTCGCTTAAACAAACTGTGTAAACTCGTTAAAGCCCTTCTTTTAAAGTATAACAATAATCGCACGTCGCTTTACCTTCAAAACCTAAGTGCTTCATGTGATACAAAATATTCCCTTTGGAAAGCCATAAAAAAGAACAACAGACCGATTGTCTATCAACCACCTATACGCAAAATCGACAACTCATGGGCAAAAAGCGATATTGAAAAAGCAGAAACATTTGCGTTACATTTGGACCAGGTCTTTAAATCAAATGATAACCAAAATATGCCTGATGTCATGAATCAACGGATTAATTTTCTACAAGAGCCTTATCAATTGGAACTTCCAATTAAAAGATATACTATTAATGAAGTTAGAGATGTAATAACAAAGTTAAAAGTAAAAAAAGCTCCAGGATACGATTTAATCACAGGCATGGCCTTGCAGCAGCTCCCACCAAAAGGATTTGTATTTCTCACTCATCTATTTAACGCTGTGATAATAAGGGGGTTTATTCCGCCACAGTGGAAGATAGCACAAATCTCTATGATACCGAAACCAGGGAAAAGCCCAGAAGACGTCAAATCATATCGGCCAATAAGTCTACTTCCGATCCTGTCAAAAGTTATGGAAATCCTGTTTCTAAAGCGCCTTACTCCGTTTATCCAACAAAACAGACTCATACCTGACCATCAATTCGGCTTTCGCCAAAAACATAGCACAATAGAACAAATTCACAGACTTGTCAGACATATCCATAGTGCGATAGATGGTAAAAAATATTGCACTGCGGCATTTATAGATATTTCACAAGCGTTTGATCGAGTATGGCATGAGGGCCTCCTGTTCAAACTAAAACTGTATCTACCTCTAAATTTTTTCATATTTATAAAATCATACCTCTCGGCTAGGCACTTTTTCGTTAAGCATGGAAACGAAACTACAGTATTTCATGATATAGAAGCAGGAGTACCTCAAGGTAGCATAATGGGACCAATGCTTTATCTTTTATTTACTGCGGATCTTCCCCTTACCGATGAGAGTGTTATCGGTACATTTGCAGACGACACAGCTATTTTATCAGTTGACAGTGACCCAATCCGTGCTTCCACCAAACTTCAAACCTGCCTTGATAATGTTGCTCTCTGGATGATAAACTGGCGTATTAAACCGAATGAATCAAAATCTGTCCAGGTAACATTCACTACAAAACGTTCTACGTGCCTGCCGGTCTTAATAAACAATACTCAATTACCACAAGCTGTAGAAACAAAATACTTGGGCATACATCTGGATAGTAAGCTAACCTGGAAATCGCACATATTTAAAAAGCGTAAAGCCTTGGGTCTTAAATTACGAAACTTATTTTGGTTCCTCAGCCGAAATTCCAAACTGTCACTCGACAATAAGCTGCTTATATACAAATCTGTACTTAAACCTATATGGAGTTATGGGGCCCAATTATGGGGTACTACAGCAGACTCAAACCTGGCAATTATACAGCGCTTCCAATCTAAAACACTACGAATGATCACAAACGCACCTTGGTATATAACGAATGAACAGCTACATAAACAATTACATGTTCGAACAATCAAGGAAGAAATAGCAAGTATTTTAAAGAATTACGCTCAACGCTTATATATGCACCCTAACCCTCTGGTTACTCAACTGATGTCCGCTTCCAATACCTTTACAAGGCTGAGAAGAAAAACATCGCGAGACATTTTAAATATGTATATGTAGACAATACACTTTTATTTTAAATATATATGGATATGTCACTGGGCATAGTCCATACGTGCCTTTCTTTTTATATCGTAATAACCATTATTACGATTTAAATTTATATATATTACTTATTGTCATTCATTCCTGACAGATTGTAATAAATAAATGGGTTTCAAAAAAAAAAAAAAAAAAAAAAATTTATCAATGAATATTTGCACATGGTTTGGCGGTAATAATAATTATAACTTTCAAAATACTAATAATAAACTTTAATTTAATGTAAAGCATTAATAGTTTTTATAGTTTTTAAAAAATTTAATGAAATTACATTTTAAATGTAATAAAATAAAAAATGTGTTTCTGATATATAGTATAACTTTAATGGATCTTATTTGTTTATTTTTATAGTTCTTCTGCGTTATACTCATTGTTATTGTTGCACAAATTGCGGCAGGGGCTTGGGCATTCCACAATAAAGATAAACTGGATGATATTGTGCGTGCATCGGTTAAATTTTCTGTACAAGAGGAATATGGTCAATCTAGTATGAGTTCGCGCACTGTTACATTTGATACTATACAGAAAAATGTAAGTTCATCGCATTTCATTAGTTTATATATTATGTAAATGTGAACACAAATAGTGGTATATGTTCTCAGGGCCTATGGCTATTGCGATACGGCTCTACCCATCATATCAGGAAGGCTATACTCAGGGCTTATGGTTACAAATACTGTAGAATTTGTCCCCATATTATATTCTAATACTTCTAATATTTTATTAAATAATTAAAAAACTTTTATATCTTCCTTATCTTGATATCAATAATCCTTCCTTATCTTGAGACACAATAATGACATCTTTACAACTGCATCAGGAAGAATCATCAATTTTTATTCAAACTATCCATACCATGTAGTGCAAAATACAACAAAAAATATGATAAAAAGAGCTCTATATCTAACCGATCCAACGTTCCATGAAGATTTACAAAAAGAATTTCGAAAAATTTTAAAGAGAAATGATTTCCCCTCTTCCAATGTGAAAAGACTATCAAAAATATTAACAACTTTTAGAATGACACTAGGAATAAGGATAACAAAATATATAAAAGCATTATACATATTCCTAAACTCTCTAACCAAATATTGACAATTAATATTCATGATAAATCAAATTATAATATCACACTAAGATCTGGAAATAGAATGAACGCACTGTATTCCAACTTAAAAACAAAAATATAAAGCAAACAAATCAAACGTAGTATTCCAAATCAGTTGCAAAGGTGACTGGTACGACGTATGTGACCAAGTATATGATGAAACAACCAAAAATAAATTAAGAACAAGAATGGCTGGTCATAAACATAGCATAAAAAATAAGGTCGATGTGGAAGTCCGAACAGCCCTGAGGATAACTTTATGTTAGACTAAAGTCGAAATATCGAAAAAAAAATAAAAATTATTGCAAAGTTAAATTGTGATTTCTTTTTTCTTAATTTTTATTTATATTTTTATTTATATTTTTATTTATATTTTTAACAACAATATAAAAAACAAAAAATTTGACTAATTAGCCTGAAAAAAACACTTTATTAAAATTGTTTGGTCACAAATAACTAACATTTATAATTAAAAAACTTAATTTTTTTGCATAAATAATCGTGTTCTCTAAAAACATATTAACGAAATTAATGAAACAAAATGCCTTTTTTATAGAAGAGAAATTGTAATTAGCATTTAAGTTCAGGTTCAAGAAGGCTTAAGAAAGTTCTGTAAATACACCCAGGAGTAAATGCTTTTAAAGTTTTTTGTTTTTTTAATCATCCTATGTAATAGTTATAAAAAGTAGAAAAAGTTTGTCATTAAAAAAGACTAGTTTTTGTTTATAAATACTAGACCTCTCTATGTGTTTAATAAAGAAAATAAAGAAAATGTGTCCTAACTATCCTTATCCTAGGTAATATGGTAGCTGAACGGTAGGTAATGTCGCAAATAATATAATATTAATATTATATCAGTATGAACGTTAATTTGTTGAAACCACGTTCAGAACAATCATAAAAGAATTTCTAGTTTAGCTTTTTAAATTATTTGTAGGATTTGAAATCAATACCCATATCGTCATTTTAAAGCGAAGTGGTGATACGAATGTTATCTGAGGTCAGTGCTATATTAGTACTTTAATATGAGCTTAGAAACATTAAAACAGTAATTCGTCTGACAAAAAGGAATTCTGATTAATACATTAGCAAATCTTATTTAGAAGTAGAAACGGTGAATTGTCAACTTGAATAGAGAAGAATTAACAAACGGGTTAGAAAACCACAGATTCATTAAGTTGAATTTCATGAGTTTTTTAATGGTTGAATTTCATGAGTGGTATTAATTTGTTATTATTGTTATGTAACTATATATATAATATCTGATTAATTCTTTATATATTTTTTTATTAAAAAATATAATCCCATTTATAATATCTGTAAGTGATTTTAAACGTTTATCACAATAATATGATAGTAGTTGCCAAATTTTTTACTTACGTTCTTTTCTTGATATTTTTATATTAAACTTATAATAACTAATAATAACTTTAACTTTATAAATATATAAAAATTTCAGTTGAAATGTTGCGGTGCTGATGGACCTGGAGATTGGGCAACTAGTCGCTTTAATAATGTTGATCGCACCAATATTGTTGATATTGCTATTTCATCAATGAACATTTTTTATAATATACCTGAATCCTGCTGCAAGGATGATTTAGAAGATAATGTATGTGAAATGTCAAGAAAACTTAAATTTGGCGGACCATTACCGAATGCAATCTACCAACAGGTATATTTACATCCGTATATCTATATTTAGTAATGATCTTTATAATTATATATATGTATGTTCATTTCAGGGTTGTGTTGATAAATTGATTGAATTGATTTATGAAAATTGGGTACTACTCTTTGGCATTACTGCTGGAGTTGTATTGCTCGAATTGTTGGCTTTAACCTTCTCCTTAAGTCTTTGCTGTGCGGTACGAAACAAGCATTATAAAGCCTGAGAATTACAGAACTCCCAAAGGGAAATAAATGATGATGAAAAATATTAGGATGATATAGAGCGAAATACGGCTGAGTTAAGAAAAATGGTTAAGTGGATAATATTTGAATGAAATCGAAAAGGAATATAAAAGCGAAATCCAAAAAGAAAATAAAAAAACAAAAAGTTTACAAATAAATCGTAAAAATGCAAGATTTAAAGATTTACTGTAGTCCACAACTGATTGCAGTATTGAAAATAATAACAAAGGTATTGGAGTTCACATAAGGAAATAAATATACAATTCCAAAATATAAAAGTAAACACAAATTTTTAAAATAATAGGAGAAAATAGGAGAAATTATAAACAAATTAACATACCTTAACAATAGAATTGGATATTCAAAATAAACTTGTAAAAACGTTGCATGAAATTCAGTTGCCAAGCTAACAAAGTATTGCTATACTTTTTATGTGTAAATTTCTACTTTGTCTATCTGATCACTTGGCATCTTAAAATACACATTGATTAGAAAATAATATTTCCTAAAAATCACAATCAAACCAAAATCGTTTCCATTGAAAAAAAATCACAAACTTACTTAAATCAAATAAAAATCTCAATAACTCGTGTTTTAAGGTATAAAACACAAATGAATACATAAAAATATTTTCTTAGAATTAAGGGAAATACATGAATAATTATTGTATTAGGTAAAGAAGTTTGCCAATTTTTTTGACTTTGTTTTTTTTTTTTGCAAAATCAAATTAGTTTTGTGTCTTCCGCTGACAGTTATTTATATCTTTAAATTTAATTTAATAGTCAAAATCAAACAAGAATTTATTTGAAGTTTTGACATTCCAAAACAACACAAAAAATGAAACTATTGGTGATGTTATTTTTAGTATGATATATATACACATGCACACGCACATCCACACGCACATCTAAACTACAACATTTAAACTTTCTTATACTGACTAAGCCTTAAATAAAAATTAAAATTATTTAAGCCACATTTAGTTTTCCAAATTGCCAAATTTTTATTATTTTCTTAAATTATTAAAGAACTGGAAAAAGTTATAAAACCTCACTTGTTAAAAAATATTTTCATCACAATTGTTAAATAAATGTGAACCTCTTGCATACTCTTTCCAAAAGCCATGGAACACAAATCTGCATTATTCAGTTTTGTTCGTCTTCAAATTCATTGAACACATAAAGAACATCTTACATACTCCAACAATTGTTGTTATTTTAAAATTATTTTTAACACAACTACAAAATACAAAAATAATTAAACCGAACTTTTATTCGAATCCTAATCCTACTTACCACTTACCTGCATTAATATTTACAAAACCATACTAAAGATATATTTATACATATATATTATAATTTTAATATTTTTATATAATTTTTTTATTATTCATATATTAAAGAAGTAAATATGTATTAATTAATCATTGTTGTTATAAATTATTTTGTTAGTTGAAACGGATAAAGTCTAAATCCCTTTTATAATTAAATATACAAAATGATACAAAGAGTAAATTAAATTTATAATTGAATTTTTAAACAAATAAGTTATTTACATTATTAGTATTAGTTAAGTCTAAGTAGAAAATGTGCAAAAGTTATTATTATTAGAAACAAAGATAAACAAACACAGCAATTACGAATAATAACATTTATTAAATATATTTAGAAAAAAATTAACTGAAAAAAAATAATATATTTAAAAATATTATGAATTATTTGAAATAATTAACAAAAACAAATAATTAACAAAATAAAAGGAAAGCAATAAATAAATTACTTTATTAAATAAATTAAAAGAAAATAGATTTAAAAAAGTTTTAATAAATGCTCAACTTTGTAATATATATATATATATATATATTTACGTATATATATAATAACATAAGTAAATATAAATTAAATATATTAAAGAATATGCAACAAAAATCACGGAGTTATTTATTTTAATAAAAATAATTTTAATTTTATTTATTTATCTCATATTATGAAATAATTTCATTTAAAAAATACGCGTATTTTATTTTTTTGTGAAAAAACGAAATATAGATTAGTTTAAATTTTAAAAATCTTTATTCATACGCATATACCATATAATTATATCACCAAAATTCGTGACTCTACTTGTATTTGTTTTTATTTGAAAATCAGAAATATTCTTTCATTTTAATAAAAACCAAATCTATAAATGAAAATGCATATTAAGATTTTTTTAAAATATTTTATTTAAACAATTTGCTCAAATATTAAAAATAAAATATTTTCATTGTAATATTTTCTTATTAGTGTCATAGGTAAAAAATGTATTTAAATAAATTTTTGTAATGTAGTTGATGAAAATTTGTATAACGTTTCGTGATTTTTGTTGAAATAAATTTACTAATATTCCATATATCAGTAATAATTCATTGATTAAAACAATATATTCACAAGTAATTAATGGTGTAAGCAAGAATCTGCATTCTACAATATAAAATTATGAAAACCTTTCTGGCATAAATAAAAGTGGAAACTAATATGAATGCCTTTTAAAAACTTCATGGCCAGCAATCATATTCAATCCTCTAAGAAGTTCAACAAAATAATTTCCGTAAAATTATAACATAATATCCATTTCTCAAGTTTGTATTTCTTAAATTGCTATTGCCAAAAATCTTTAAAGTTCATTTACCAAAAATGTAATAAAATGTTTTTTAAAATCTTTTTTTATATACTCTTGCATTATTCAAAATATGAATATAAACCAAGTTAAAAAAGATTTAGATGAATTTACCCCCTAATATTTATTATATTGATACATAAGGAAAAAAATTTTCAATTGAATTTAAGGCAT